GTCAAATGCTCTACCTCTATCGGAAAAAAAGTCATTTCATGAATAATTATATAATCTGAACCTGTGTGTCTCAATACAGTTTTAGTTCCTAATGCTATACATATTTCAGAAGTTTGTATAGTAGTTTTAATTAAAAGGAAAATAATGAAATAGATCATAAACTATTAAAAGCCTAATATGTAAACATTTAGCTCAAAAACAGAAGTAAAATCATCGTTGCCACTTTCCACATTCTTAACATAATTGTCACCACAAATACATCTTTTTCAGGCATACCTCCAAACAACCACTGACCACAATCCTGCTGATTGTGTTAATCATAAGACTTACTCTAGTATTAAACAAAAGTTCCTACAAAACTGATTAATCAAAACACAAAGAGTCGTGTTCCAAATGTTATATGAACATAATGTGTCTGAAGAGCCAATTTAACGATTCCTTTTGGTTGACTTCTTCTTGTGCACCTCTTTATGCTTCTTTTTTTTCCTCTTACCACCTTCTTTGAATCCTGCTGAGAAAACAGAGGGATCCTTGTTGCTGGTGACCCACGGTATACGTTGCTCATTTCCCACACAAGTGTATTGAGGCACATGTTTGGAGCTGTAGGACTTTGGTGAATAATTGTCAAGTGACTGTCTTCTCCACCTGTGCTCTGCAAAGCCCTCTTCATCTGCCACATCGTTTATAATGAGGAAGGACTCTAACTCGCCATCATCTTCCCCTTCTCTTTCCTCATCATTCTCAATAATTCTGCTTGTATTGGTCTTTCTGCCGTTAACAGTTTTATATGAAGTAAAAGATGTGTAGTTGTCCATCCCACTGTCATCAAATGCCGGGGAAGAGAAAAAATTAAGGTCTTCATGGCCCAGTGAATCATATGGTGTATATCTTGTGTCATATTCATAAAATCTCTCAAAAACTGGATATTCACGGGAGGTAGAGAAAAAGGATCTTGCACCTCTGTTTCTACTTCTATAGGAACTTCTTGGACTATTTAAAAGGTCCTCAAGTGAGTCTTCAAAGAAAAGACATAAAAAGGAGTCCCTTTCACCAAAAATTTCTGTAAAGACATCATCTGGCTTAGGGAATGTGAAGCCATATTCAAAAGAATCATCAATATTACTTCCGCCTTCACCATTTAATCCTTCTTTGCCATATTTATCATAAATGTCCCGTTTTTCATCATTTGATAATACCTCATACGCTTCAGCTACTTCTTTGAATTTTCTCTCCGCTTCTTCTTTATTTTCTAGATTTTTATCAGGGTGCCATTTAAGTGCCACTTTATGATAAGCCTTTTTAATGTCTGCACATGAAGCATATCTCTGCACTCCTAGAACTTCATAGTAATCTACCATGTTTTAACAAATCGTTGGAAGGGGGTGCCCTGGGTAGTAAGAACCGTGGTTTCCTCTCCGTCCTGGCTCTGTTGGTGGTGGTGGTAGAGTGACTGCAAATAGGCACATTTTTACATTGAAGACAATGTTGCTGTGGGCCACTGCTAGGAGACAATAGGGTACTGATTGTGTGGCAAGCAGAGTTACCAGCTTATGTCAGAGAGGGCTGCATTATGGTGTCATTCGGGGGTTGGGGTAGGACTTGACCTTCTCAATGGAGCTAGTCCAGAGTCATATCAGACCGTCCTGAGCCCTCTGGATGATTTCTCCTATATTTCTCTGGAAGCCTCAAACAATACCTCATAAATCAGTGGGACCTGTTGTTACTGGCCACAGCATGCCACTTGCATAATGTGACCTCTAGGTTACTAAGTCTTAATAACTTACTTCCCAGTGCTTGCATGTTTTGGTTTGGAAAAATGAAGAAGTCTATAAAACATGTAGTTAAAGATTTTGAAAACTGCGTGTTTATGTATTCAATACATATTATTGAATGCCTATTTTGTGCAAGGCTCAGTTTTAGCCACTGGTAATAACAGTATTGAATTAAAAAAATGCCAGTTTTCATGGTGTTTACATTATCATAGAGTACAACGAATAAATGGGAGATAATGTGATACGTGCTTTAAAAAAAAAAGCGTGACGGCAGAAAGCTACCTTCGATTGGTTTTAGAAGGCCCCTGAAGAGACGACAGAGCTGTGTGATCCAGTATAGTAGCTACTAGCCATGTGGGTGGACATGTTGGTTTTTTCCACTTTTGACCCATTATAAATAAAGCTAGCATTCATTTCTAGTGAGAAGCCAATTTGGGGGGGTGGGGTGGGGAGGTGGTAATGCATCAGATTTACATTTTTAATGGATCAGTGTCTGCTCTGTGGAGAATCAGTTGTATGTGGGAAAGTTAGGATTAGAAAATCCAGGTAGACACTCTCACTCTCTCCCTCTCCCTCCCTCCACCCCACCCTTTCATTCTCTCTAAAAATCAATTTTAAAAAATCCAGTTAGAAGAAAACTCGACCAACGTTGGTTTTCTTTGGGGACAATTTAAATTATCAATAGGCTAGGCCTGAATTAAAAAGATGTATTCCTGGCTCATTTTATTGTCTTAGGAAATTCCCTAAGATGATCTGTCTCTGTTTCTCCTCCTCTATATGTTGTTTTCTTTTTCATGACATTTATAAACAACTTGTTTAAATGATATTCTAGTCACATGGAAAATAATAGTGTAAATTTCTAGCCAGTCTTTCAAGACCATTTGTCAGCTTTGAATATTTTTTACTTTTTGTTTGTATGCCAGTTGACTAGAAGTATTGCAGAACTCTTAAACTCAAATAATTTCAATTCTCTCCAGTATCTGTACTTACTTACATGTATGTATGGTATACATGTGATTATATTTACCTACCATTGAAAATAAGTAGCAGTAATAATAATAATATTGAACATTATTTGAGTACCATCTTTGGGTCAGACCCTGTAGCAAGTGTCTTACATGCAGTTTCTCATTGAACTGTCACAGCATTCCAGCAAAATAAATATTTTGTGTCCATATGAAACCTGAGCCTCTGAAAAATAGTAATTTGCCTAAGGAAACCTAGCTCATTAGTGAAAAATCTGATACTTAAACTTGGATCTATCTGATTCCAAATTCTGCTCTTTCCAACTCTATCTCATTTCTTAGACCAGGATTTAAGAGTTTAGGTTCTAGACATTGCACATTATGAGCCCCCTATGGGGGATTGAACCTGCAACCTAGGTATGTGCCCCGACTCAGAATCGAACCCTCAACTCTTTGGTGTATGGGATAAAGCTACAACCAACTGAGCCACCTGGCCAGAGCTCTTTTAAGAACTTTTACTCTTTTAGCAACTTTAAAATATACCATACATAATTGTTAACTATAGTTACCATACTATACATTACATCCCCAGAACTTATTGATCTTGTAAATACACCCATTTTGGTTTCTATCTTCTATACTCCACTAAAACTGTTCTTGTCAGGGTCTCTAGTGACTTCCATGTTGCCAAATCCAGTAGTTGTCTTTGTGGTCTCATATTTAGCAGCACATGGCACAGTTAAGTATCTCCCCTTTCATAAAACACTTGTTTCTTTAACTTCCTAAATACCACATTCTTACAGTTTTCTTCCTTTCTTCTGTGCTTTTTCTTCTCACACCAAAATAATATAGTACCTGGACTTTCTCTGTACCATCTTCATAGGTAATATTCAGTCCCAGGACTTTTGATCCCCCGAACTTAAGACTGTTTGACCTCTCCATTGGAATAGCCAATAATTATCTCAATCTTTTCCATTTCATTTAATGGCATAACCTTCCACCCACTTGCAAAAACCTGGGAATCATCCTTAATATGCTTTTTTTTTTTTTTACTCCCTGCATATAACCAAAACCAGATTTGTTGGCTTTTTAACCTTCAAAAATATATCCCGAATCTCATCACTGGGAAAATAAAGTAAAATAACAAATAATCTCTATCTTCCCAAAGTTCATAGCAAACTAATTTAGCAATTATGTGCAGTGTAGTAGGTCTTAAAATAGAATTAAGCCTGGTTGATGTGGCTCAGTAGATAGAGTTGGCCTGCGCACAAGGGTTGCAAGTTCGATTCCCAGTCAAGGGCATGTACCTGGGTTGCAGATTCTATTTCCACCTGGGTAGGGCACATACGGGAAGCAACCAAGCGATGTGTCTCTCTCACATCGATGTTTCTCTCTTTGTTTTCCTTCCACTCTTTCTAAAAATCAGTGGAAAACATATCCTTGGGTTAGGATTCACAACAATAGCAAAATAGCATTAAGTGCAGTAGCATTGAGGAGGGGCCTTTGTATCAGAAGCAGTAGGGAGGGGGATTAAAAATCAGGCTTCCTAGATGTTGGAGCTGATTTTTGAGAAGTTGAGTAATCAGAAACAAGCAAAGGCCATTTTAGACTAAGATAACTGCGTACTTAAAGCCAAATGCTGTTATAATACAGACTAATTAGCTGGCTCTTTGCGTAGTTTAGTGTGGATGCAGTAATGTTTTTTGAGGATTAGGCCAGCCATTAGAGGAGTGAGCAGGGGCCAGATTAAGAAGGGTGCTAAGCCCTGACCAGTTTGGCTCAGTGGATAGAGCGTCTGCCTGCGGACTGAAGGGTCCCAGGTTCGATTCCGGTCAAGGGCATGTACCTCAGTTGTGGGCACATCCCCAAGAGAGGGTGTGCAGGAGGCAGCTGATCAATGTTTCTCTCTAACATCGAGGTTTCTGACTCTCTATCTCTCTCCCTTCCTCTCTGAAATCAATAAAGATTCATTTAAAAAAAAAAAAAGGGTGCTAAGCTAGAGTCAAACATATTTTGAAAGATAGAAAAATCTAAGCATACATAGTAGACTAAAGTCACTAAGGGTTAAAACTAGATCATGTCTATGTTACCAGGACTCCACACAGGCTCTGGCTGGCACAGAGGAAGGCCCATATATATATTGAAGGTGAAATTAATTTGCATTTTTCTAAAACACCCAAATGTTGGAGATAGATAAATATACATACACTGTGAGGACCTTCTAGATTCCTTCTTCCATTTCATCCTCTTTCTTTCTCCTTAGGATGCATATCCTGTTCTCAGAGAAGGTACTCCCTCCAGCCCATCCCAGACAGGAGGGTTCCAAATCGATACTTGGGCCAGCCCAGCCCCTTCACACACCCACACCTCCTCAGACCAGGTAAGGATTTTAACCATAATAACTGTCTCTTCAGGTGCTTTATCTAGAGCTGTGCTGTTCAATACAGGAGCCACCAGCCACTAGTGACTATTGTATACTTATTATGTTGCTAGTGCAACTCAGAAACTAAATTTTTTTTACAGAGAGGAAGGGAGAGGGATAGAGAGTTAGAAACATCGATGAGAGAGAAACATCGATCAGCTGCCTCCTGCACACTCCCCACTGGGGATGTGCCTGCAATCAAGGTACATGCCCCTGATCAGAATCGAATCTGGGACCCTTGAGTCCACAGACCGATGCTCTATCCACTCAGCCAAACCGGTTAGGGCTATTTTAAATAATTTAGATTTAAACTTAAATAGCTACATGTGGCTACTGGTACTCAGACGACAGCACTATCTAGAGCCATAAACACTTTATTAAGCCTTACCATTCAGAATTATCAGTGAAATATGTACTTAGGATTTTCTTAAAGAAAAGTTCTATTGCTTTCTAAGACTTAGTTTCTACAGTTGTGTTCTAACTATTGATTCCTAGTGAACTACTATGTTAAAGATACTTTAGAAAACATGGTTTTTTTAAAAAATATGGAATACGTCATGAATTTGTGTGTTATCCTCAAAAATGTGTTTTTCTTGAAAGTGTTAAATACTCATTTCAAAAGTTTAACAACAATATTTCTGTATAGATTATGCAAGATTTCCAGATCTGACTGTCACAGCTTTGAGAGGTGACAGCACTGGTAAAGATGATACAAAAATTGGTGTTTATTTACTTCACTGGTTTTTATACTTGATAAAAGTTGACCTCCCCGATATTTTTTTCTGCTATAAGACTCCAGTGTTGCTGCTAGATGTGTCATCACTATCACTCAAATTCATGCCTAAACGTTTTTATTTTGTTTTATCAAAAAGGCATGAGGGATGAACTGTGGTGAATGAATATCATCCCAAAGAGGTAGGTAGAGTAAAACCACATGCTGTGTAAAAAAGCAGCCAGGGTTTCAAAAGAAATTGTTGCTTCTGCCATGAGAAGTTAAATCTGTATTTTCTGTGTAAGCATAGATATCAATAATCTAAACTGCCTTTAGAAATATGTTACTCTTTCACTGTCTCCACTCAGTGAACGATACCAGTGTGTCTCTCAGTGAGGGCTTCTTTTGCTGATTCTTCATGAGACTGGAATTCCTGCTGGAAAGTCGGCTGAGACTCAGGAAATGCAGCTCACCACTGAAACACACAAGAAATCAGAGTTTTTCAAAGCTGTAAGGTAAGCTTAAAGCAATCCAGTTGATGTAAATTTAAGTATTTCTCTACCCTATCAACCTACTTTTAGCGTCAATCTTTTTTAAAATGTAGAATTGATATTAAGCTTTACCAGCTTTGAAAATTATTGATTTCTTGTGGTGAGATACTTTTATGTGGTGAGCTGCATTTTCCAGGCCTTAAAACTAGTAATCATATTGTCAAAATGATGGTCTCTGTATCTAGAATGTTTGCTATGTATATTATGTACATGTTAACAAAATAAAAAATGAATGTAGCCTTGATCAGTGTTCTCAGTGGTTAGAGCGTCGGCCCACACACCAATTGCTGGTCAAAGGTTTCCCGTTCGTCCCTGGCCCAGTTGGGGCACATGCTGGAGGCAACCAATCAATGTGTCTCTTTCACATTGATCTTTATCTCTATCTCTGTCTCTCTCTCCCCCGCTTCCTCCCTCCCTTCCACTCTCTAGAAAACAATGGAAAAAATATCCTCAGGTGAAGATTAACAACAAAAAATGAATGCGAATAAACATACACACATACATGTTCATACACATTCACATGTTCATCTCAGCTATGGGGGGAAGGGATGCCTGTCCTAATCTTTATTCTCCTAGACATAGGCTTCGGACACTGGGGTAAGTGAGAAGGGAGAGAAGAAGATAAAATTTTTAAGCAGAATTATCAGTTATACAGTTTTTAGAGGCAAGAACTATGTAAGTATTCAAAGTATTAATCATTTGTCTTTCTCCATGTAGAGATGCAAAACATTATAAGTGTTAAAATGTTTGTGGGGTGAAGAAAGAGTAAGTTAAGAAAAATTATAAGACGTGTAATACTTAAAAAAAATTTTTTTTCTTTTACATAGCCAGTTTGTTAGTTCAGGGTATAAAATTGTGTTGTCTATACTTAGTTTGCTCCAAAAGGTTTCATGTTTGGCTTAGTTATTTTCTCAATACTTGCCAGTACTTAAAACTTTTTGAAACTATCTCAGTTCCTTTCCTAATTATTATGCAAGTTTTATATATATTATAGAAAAATTAGAGAATACAGCTAAGCATACATTTTTAAAAAATTATTCATAATCTGCCCTGGTCAGGTAGTTCAATTGGTTGGAGCATTGTCCCATACACCAAAAAGTTGTGGGTTCAATTCCCAGTAGGGACGAGTTTGGGAGGCAACCAATCAATGTCTCTCTCCTCTTAAATCAATAAACATATACTTAGGTGAGGATAAAAAAAATTAATCATAATCCCACCACTCCCAAGAAATCCCACCACTGTTGAGATTTTTGTATATATATATTTCTAGACTTATTTCTTATATAAAAAGTGTATGTGTGTGTATACATTCTGTATACTGATCAATTATTTTCTTAAATTCTTAAAAGTGAAATTACTGTGTCAGTTTCTTCTGAATTTTTGGGAGCTGATTTCTCTTGGCCATATCTACTCAAGTTTCCTGAAGCAACAGTAACTTGGAAAATATTCAGTAGAATAACATGGGAGATAAAGGGATTCTGTTCTGGCTTTACTACTACTACTATTTTAGATGGAAATAAAGAATCAGGTTGACTCACCCAGGTCCTCCCCGTGATGTTTAAAATTTATCATTTTCTTAAAGAAATCTAGGCATTATAGACCATTTCTTCTTTTTCATGACATTGCCATCCCTGTGTCTGTAGAGACAGAAAATGTCAGTTCATCCTTTTCAATCACTAGTATTCCCTCCACTTATCACCTGAGGGGAAATAAAAATGATTCCATGTAGGAAGGCAAGTGGCATTCTGAGCTATATACTATCATGAGCTGTGAATCTGCTTTTTATATCTGTACAAGAGAGACACTTATAGAGTTCCCGGACATTGCCACAGGAGTATTGCTGTCACCAGCAGAACAGCAAGGTGTTTAGTTCACACAAACACTGAAACTTATCAGGGAATAGGAAGCATTAGTGCCTAATGAAGCATTTGTTCCAAAAACCTGTATTTCTAACATTTCTACACTTCTAAGCAAAATAAACTTTAGAATGTGAAGTATAGTTTGGAGTGCTTTACAAGAGGACTATGCAGAAGCTGAGCTGTCAGAATGACTTGTCAGACATATCCAGAACCACTTTTTTGTTTTCCTATCAAGTATAATATTTAAAATGATAAGAAGATTGGTTCTAGCCCGGCCGGTGTGGCTAAGTGGTTGAGCGTCAACCTACGAACCAGGAGGTCTCGGTTCGATTCCCTGTCAGGGCACATGCCCAGTTGCAGGCTTGATCCCCAATTAGAGGTAGCCAATCAATGATTCTCATCATTTCTATCTCTCCTTCGTCCTTCCTCTCTCTGAAATTAATAAAAATATATACTAGATTGGTTCTAGAATGGGTTAAAAATAATCCCCAAATCTCCCCTTAAAAGTTTCATAATCAGGTGTCCATATTTCAGTGATTGCTTAGTTGTAGTTTTTTTTGTAATTTTTATTTATTGATTTGAGAGCGAGAGAAACATTGGTTTTTGTTGTTCCACTCATTTATGAACTCACTGGTTGACCTTTGTATGTGCCCCAACCAGGGATTGAACCCACAACCTAGGTATGTGTCCTGACAGAATCGAACACGCAACCTTTTGGTGTACAGGACAATGCTCCAGCCAACTGAGCCACCCGGCCAGGGCTTATTATGTCCATTTTAAAGATGAGGAAACTGAGGCACAGAGCAGATTGGTAGCTCAGGATTTCATTTCACAACAGTCTGACAGAGTCCAAACTTAACCACAAAACAGTACAGCCCCGCCGTTGTGGCTCAGTGGTTGAGCGTTGACCTATGAACCAGGAGGTTTGATTCAATTCCCAGTCAGGGCACATGCCTGGCTTGCCGGCTCGATCCCCAGTGGGGGGCGTGCAGGAGCAGCTGATCAATTTCTAACTATCTCTTTTTTTTTTCTTTTTTTTCCTTCAAATTTTTACAATAGAATAGAAAATTTAAACCTGGGTTATCCCATAATTCTCCATATGCTATGAAGAGATTTGGCCTAAATTGAAGAAATGAACTTGGGTATCTTTATCTAATATTAAACAACCTTGCGTACTTTGGCATTGCAGAAATGCAAAGCATCACTGTTGTTTGTCATTTCTAGGGGAGGTGACTCCAGGACTATCCCAGGTGGAATATGCGCTTCGCAGACACAAATTAATGTCTCTGATCCACAAGGAAGCACAAGGGCAGAGTGGGACAGACCAGACAGTGGTTCTGCTGTCCAACCCTACATACTATATGAGCAATGATATCCCCTATACTTTCCACCAAGACAACAATTTCCTGTACCTGTGTGGATTCCAAGAGCCCGATAGCATTCTGGTCCTTCAAAGCCTCCCTGGCAAGCAGTTACCAGCACACAAGGCCATGCTTTTTGTGCCTCGGAGAGACCCCAGTCGAGAACTTTGGGATGGCCCTCGATCGGGCACTGATGGAGCAATAGCTTTAACTGGTGTGGATGAAGCCTATACGCTGGAAGAATTTCAACATCTCGTTTTGAAACTGAAAGGTAACCAATGGGAGGAGAAGTCAAATGATAGGCCAGATTGGGATTAAGACCTTCCTTACCCATTTAGACAAAGTTCTTAATGTCCTAGAATGATTATCCATAGCAGTGGTTTCTCTTAAGCACCAAGAAAGGAACATAAATTTTTACCACAAGACTGGTCTACTTTAAAGACGTCATTTATTCATTTGCTAAATCTTTCTAGAGAATTCATTCTCATAGACTGTTAACTGTCTTAGTGCGAAATCCCAAAGAGTGAATTTCCTTCTAAAGTGGAGGATGGGTGTGGGCCACTCTTTAAGACTACTGACCAGTCTATTGACCGTTGATCCCTGCTTTTTACTGCTTTTGCCAATTCTTCAAAATGAGGTAGTATTCTCAAAAAAATTATCTAAGCACCACCAACATCAGAATCACCTTGTGATGCATATTAGAATTACAAATGAAAAAAAAAAGAAGCATTACAAATGCATAGTAGATATTGGAAAATGTAAAATCGTAGGCCCCCATTCCATACTGACTAAATCAGAATCTACATTTTAACAAGATTCTTAGGTGATTTATATACACAGTTCATACTTCTCAAAATAGTCACTTTCTCTACATTAATTCTGGTGAAATTATGATCACTCAGAATATTTTGGGATTCCTTTTCTGGAACTTTGCAGAACCTACACTACAATATAAACTATCCTTAGAGATTCTTGTAAATCTATAGTTCTGGAAGCATTTTTAAAGTATCCAAAGTCACTTAGAGCCAAATGTGTTAAATAAGATAGATGATCAGGTTGGAAAATACTGATTTTAGGCAAAATAATGCAGGATTGTAAAAAAAAAATTTTTAAGATTTTTTTTTTTTTAAAGAGAAAGAAACATCAGTGTGAGAGTGAAACATCAATCAGCTGCCTCCTGCATGCCCCTACTGGAGATCAAACTCTCAACCCTGGCATGGGCCCTAACCAGGAATCGAACTGGCAACCTTTCAGTGCACGGGACGGTGCTCAGCCAACTAGGCTACACTGCCAGGGCAAGGATTGTAAAATTTTAGTCTGATTTTTCTTACGTGGTTTATAAACCATATCTGAAGTGAGTTTCTAAAACAGAATTCCAAAATAGTTTCCAACAATCATGGAATTTACTGGACTTGTTTCCTACAAAGACTCCCTTGAAAGAAAATACTTGCTCAGATATGCACGTTCTAATATGTTTCAATTCTTTCCATTACTTTATAAAATATTTTCTATTTTGTAGAAATGATTACCCAACTAAGCTAGTGGAACTTTCATAATCTTCAAAGTCTTCATGAATGTGGGCATAGAATCATTTTCTTTGTAGCTATTCTGTTTCTTGAAATTACTTTGTCCCTTGCCCTGGCTCAGTTGGTTGAGCATCTTCCTGTGTACTGAAAGATTGCCGGTTCGATTCCCAGTTAGGGCACATGGTGGGCTCGATCCCCAGTAGGTGGCATGCAGGAGGTAGCCAATCGATGTTTCACTCTCACATTGATGTTTCTCTCTTCCTCTCTCTCTAAAAATCAATTTTAAATCTTTTTTTTTAAAAAAAGACAAAACATACAACCCTTTAGGCATAGTTTGGGAATGCAGTAGTTCATTAGCTACTGTCAGAAAAAAATAAAAGAAAGGAATTGTAGAATTGCATACCTGAAATCTATAATCATAAAAACGTAATATGCTAATTAGACCGGACGTCCTGTCCTTCCTGACGAAGCCGGGACGGCAGAGGCCCCCAGCCACCACTGCCGCCAGCGGCTGAGCCCCTTGCGCGAAATTTTATGCATCGGGCCTCTAGTATAATTATATTAACCATGTCGCCCCAATGAATCTATTTAACAAAAGAAAAGAAAAAGAAAAAAATGAAAGGAAATAGAGACTTGGTGTAAATAGAAATCATTTTCATAATGAGCCTACTTATTTTATATCAGGCAAATATAGTTAAAAGATGAATAGTGCTTGTCTGTAATGAGAATACATAGCAGATGGGAAAGGAAAGATTTCCTGGATAAGAGTGGATTAGCACATACTATCAACTGTAGCATTTCTGTAGCCGGGAAGAGAACTTCCTTTTATCATTGCTGAGAGTTTTGGCGAAGGGATGGAATGCTTTTAACCATAAAGTCATGATCTGAGTACAGTTTTCTATCCTTTTTGTTCAATTATGCAACAGTGCCTCTGGCTCAGTAGTGGTGTGGAGAACAATTATTGTAACTTTTCTTTAACAGTTAATAAGTAATAAATAGCCGAAACCGGTTTGGCTCAGTGGATAGAGCGTTGGCCTGTGGACTGAAGGGTCCCGGGTTCAATTCCGGTCAAGGGCATGTACCTTGGTTGCGGGCACATCCCCAGTGGGGGGTGTGCAGAGGGCGGCTGATCGATGTTTCTCTCTCATCGATGTTTCTAACTCTCTATCTCTCTCCCTTCCTCTCTGTAAAAAATCAATAAAATATCTTAAAAAAAATAAGTAATAAATAAAACCAAAGCTTAAATAAAGGTTTAGTTCCATCTAGGTAGTTCCAAAACTGTGTACTGGGGCAGAAAAGCTGTCAGTTCAATCTCAGAATATCTTGCCATTTTCAAGGAATGGCCTTTCCAATGATTTATGATCAAACCCTTCAATTACTTCAGTCCTGAGAGAGTTTGTGCTCAACCCTTTAGATTCAGAGCAAGCATGTCAAACGAGCCACGAGTTTGACATGCTTGCATTAGAGTTTCACACTACACGTTTTACAATTTTGACTCTTGTTTAAGTCATCGTGACAGTTGGTATTTATTGTTGTTGCTGTTAGTTTTATTTTAAATTGATTTTTTTGGCATCTTATTTTAAGCCGAGACAAATACACTTTGGTATGACTGGATGAGGCCCGCTCACGCACAGCTTCACTCGGACTATATGCAGCATCTGACTGAGGTCAAAACCAAGAGCAAGAACAAGGTTCGAGCTGTCCATCAGCTGGTACAGCGCCTACGGCTGATCAAATCTCCTGCTGAAATTGAACGAATGCAGATTGCTGGAAAGCTGACGTCACAGGTGTGATTCCTACTGCAAAAGCTGTTTTCAAATGAAAAAAATCTAAGCTCTTAGGCAGGGGTCCTCAAACTTTTTAAACGGGGCCAGTTCACTGTCCCTCAGACCGTTGGAGGGCCAGACTATAGTTTAAAAAAAAACTATGAACAAATTCCTATGCACACTGCACATATCTTATTTTGAAATAAAAAAACAAAACGGGAACAAATACAATATTTGTATTTGCATGTGGGCCGTAGTTTGAGGACCCCTGCTCTTAGGGTTCCATGGGCATTTTGAGGTTGTGTACTTAATGCAGTAAATTCATGGCAGGTGAACATCCAGCTTCAACCTTGACATTAGTGAACACATCTAGAGACTTGCTCAGTACCTTGCAAGGCAAAGTGAATCTGCCTTCTTGTATTTTTTACCCATGATCTCAGTTGTTTCTCCTTGGAGCAAGGTAAATTAATTTTATTTCCTTTCCTGACAATAACTGCAATAATAGTAGCAGTTTGATGGTTAAAAAAGAATCATAGGACCCAAAATGACAATGCTTACAAGTCTACAATTAACAGGAAAAGGGTACAGTATAGCAACAGCATTAACATAAGAATACCTGTCACAGCCAATGGCTGTCTCACAGCCAGGGACCAAAGAAGCCAAGTTCAGGCTTCTGTTGTCCTGTCCGCTCTCAGTAAGAGCTGGACAGGATGCATTTTCTCTCCTGGATCAGGAACCACAGATGCCTGCATGGGACACCTGGAAACCAGGGAGCCCAGAATGGAATCGCAGCTAGAGATTTTTCTGGTTTGGATCATATTGGCAGATTCCTGCTATGTAACAACAAAGCCTTTTGGAGTTCTCGTGGAAACCAAGTACAAACCATTAATCTCACTTGTCACAATACTGACAAACGGATACAAACTGCTCTGAAACTCCTCTCAACACTGTTAATCAGTATGTTTCAGGCCTTAACCAAGATCCATTACATGCAGGACCTTGAACAAAACAGCTCAAGGTAATTCCAGCCCTACTGGAATTAACTTCATAGCATAATAGCACACAAACATATAAAGGCTATTTTTCTGAGCTCTACCTATAGTCTTCCCAAAGTTAAACGTTGTTTCCCTGAACTATTCCCTCATCTGTTTCATTTTACCTCATTTGGTGATCTTCCTCAGTAAGTGCTCTAGTTTGTCTAGTGCACTGTCCAGTGTTGTAGCTATGGCTAGACCAACTAATTACAAATGTGAAAAGTGTATGTCTTTGTTTTCCTTCAAATCATTGATTTTTTTAAATAAGGAAGAGAAGTAGCTAAGAATAGATTGGGATAATGTTTAGGGCTCCAAAGAAATTGATATCAGTCCAGTGATCAGATGTCTTTGCATAAGGTGTAAAGTCAATTACAAATTTACCTGGGAGTATTCTGATCTGCACTTCTGTCACTTGTCCACGCTGTTAGTGAGAGACTATTGTAAGTGTGCCAAAATTTAGAACTATTAAATCTGAGGTATTGTCTTTATCTACCGATCCAGTAAAGATATCAGACGAGGAAATGGAGTTTGGCTTAATTTTTATTAACGAACAACTTCTACCAGCAATTTTATTCTTTAAGTATTCCCAATTCTGGTGTAGAATTATTCTGTAAGATTTTTTAATATTTGGGCAAAATAGTTTGGGGTTTTTTTTTAATATTTTTTTTTATTGATTTCAGAGAGGAAGGGAGAGGGAGAGAGAGATAGAAACATAAATGATGAGAGATAATCATTGATTGGCTGCCTCCTGCACATCTCCTACTGGGGATGTGCCCGCAACCCAGGTACATGCCCTTGACCGGAATCGAACCTGGGACCCTTCCGTCTGCAGTCTGATGCTCTATGCACTGAGCCAAACCAGCTAGGGCCAAAATAGTTTTCTTAAGAATAATGATGCCGCCGAAACCGGTTTGGCTCAGTGGATAGAGCGTCGGCCTGCGGACTGAAAGGTCCCAGGTTCGATTCCGGTCAAGGGCATGTACCTGGGTTGCGGGCACATCCCCAGTAGGAGATGTGCAGGAGGCAGCTGATCGATGTTTCTCTCTCATCGATGTTTCTAACTCTCTATCTCTCTCCTTTCCTCTCTGTAAAAAATCAATAAAATATATTTAAAAAAAAAGAATAATGATGCTATATTTATGTTTTTCAGCCCAAATGAAAGTTTCTTTTGGGGAATTAGCCAAATATAATTTGTGTGTCTGTGCTACAGATCAATTGGATTTTCTTGCAATCTGATTTGGTTTACAATAAGTAAAGGGCCTTGTCATTAGAGTTAAGTAACCTTTCTAGAGGAGAATTGGTAGAATATATGGGCAGAAGTAAAAGCAGGGTGAGTCAGACCTATCCAGGCCAGATCTCTCCTATGACTGAACGTATATCCTGCCTCCTGGACTTTTCTACCTGAATTTCCTGTAATTGTCTAAACTTGTGCTCTGCCAGCTCTACCAGACCTGCCTCTTCTCTTGTATTCTATTTCATGGTTAATAATAACAACATTGACCCAGCTACCTTAGATAGAAATATGGAAGTTATCTAGATAATTGTTCTCCCCAATCCTTGTATCTAATTAACTGGTCCCAAGTTATCTTCTCGGGGGGCAGAATAGTGTAGTGGAAGACAGACCTGGGTTTAAATACCAAGCTGTGTTATTTTGGCCTGTGCCTAGCACAGTAGGACACCTAATATCCCTTTGCTGTCTCTTTGCTTCTGCTATTGCCTGCGTCTAACTCTACCCCGGCCACAGTGATCTCTTCAAATCTGACTGCCCTTCTCCTAAAGTTCTTTGGTGGCTCCTTGTTGTTTTTAGGATTAAATTTCAACATGCTCACGCAGGGCCTTTCATGACCTGGCCTCTTCTGCCTTTCCCTTCCAGCTTTATATCTCATGCTTCCACAGGTGCTTACATACTGAACACTCTCAAATGTCACAGGCTCCCTACTCTCACGTCACCTGCATGTGGACAAGGCCCTCATGAAATCATTCCTGCTTTTTCTCTCCACTGTCCCTTCCCCATAAGCTGTACAGTGTCTACTCATGATGTGTCCTGGTTATAAGATGCACAGAATGAAATGCAAAGAAACCTCATTTTACATCTTCAAAGATACAAACATTTAAATAGCACCTGGTGAAGTAAGAAGGTCAAGTGTTAATTGAGAGTATGGGCTACATTGTGATAAGACAACCCTAATAAGAAGTGGCAGTCATAACGTCTGCCCCTTGATCTTTATAGGAAAGACAGTATTTTGAACATTTGAGTAAGCAGAATAGTTAACATTAGACTTCTTTTCATCCTCCATTCTATTTGCAGGCTTTCATAGAGACCATGTTTGCCAGCAAAGCGCCTGTGGATGAGAGCTTTCTTTATGCTAAGGTGAGCTTTCAGTGATGGGAAGGCACACGTACAGTAATTCCATTGATTTGCAGGTGGCATCTGGTTGGCTTTTATGGAAGTGACCAGGAGATGAGTGGAGAGGATTTGGTTCTTAAATGTCACTAGTAATTTATTAGATGAGTCTAAAATATGTGGAGTAACAGTTAAATGAAGAAAATCCACAGAGTAGAGCTATTGAAGAAGAAAAGGTTTACATAAATGTGAGATGACAAGACTAGTACTGTTTAAGTAAATGTAAAGGAAGAGACTCTTTATTTTTATTTTCCAGAGCTTGTAGGTCAGTAGCTATTTGAAAGGTTGACATTAGTCATTTAGAGTTGTTGTTAAAAATGCAAGCTGTATTCCAGTGTTTATCTAAATAAGAATAAACAAACAGTAACTTGACATGACTTATCTTTTTGCTCACCCTTGATCATAGGTTTTCTGTGTCCTCTTCTGGACTTAATTTGAAAATCAGAAATTTAGAGTACTCACAAGGAAAGAACAGATTTAGTAATAGGATGGAATAACAGGCTTGGGGTGAGACTAAAAGAAGTGGCCTGAAATTATGGCATTACAAGTTTTGTTGGGTATGATGAATAGTTTTCCAGTAGTAACTTAAATGGAGGTGTGTGCTGTTGAGGAGAGCCTGGGCAGGGACAGCCCTAAAGAAATCCTTTCTTCTGTCATACTTATAGTTACACTTTGCTGCTTTTTTCAGTTTGAATTTGAATGCCGAGCCCGGGGGGCAGACATCTTAGCCTACCCACCTGTGGTTGCTGGAGGTAATCGGTCAAACACTTTGCACTATGTGAAGAATAACCAACTCATCAAGGTACAGTACTACCCATCAGCACTGCTTCCTCGGGGTCCAGGTGCCCTAGTAGAAAACTCACTAACTTCGGGGTCCCCTAATTTCCAGCTTTAACAAAATGCTTTTACAGACATTATCTCATTTGATCCTCACGTTAGCGCTATGAGATAGGAGCAGTTATTAACATGCCTGTTTTATAGGTGAGGAAAATAAACTTTTAAAAATTAGGCAATTAGTAGTGCAGAGGCAAATATTCTACCCTAAAGCCTCTGCTCTTTTTCTTTTATAACACTCCTCCTCCCAGGACTGGTAGCTAGCTGCAGTGGGCTAAGCATATGGGAGCAGACAGACTTTTTTTTTTTTTTAATGTTTTTATTGACTAGAGAGAGGAGGGGAGAGGGCGAGAGATACAGAAACATCGATGGGAGAGAAATATCAACATCGATTGGCTGCCCTTGCTGGGGATTGAGCCCACAACCTGCACATGTGCCCTGACCCGGAATGGAACCAAGTGTACGGATCGACCCTCAACCACTGAGCCACACTGGCCAGGCAGATTGTAAGAATGAATACCTTATTAGCTGTCAGAGAATTTCTCTTTTATGGTTTATTCTCCAAGTGACTATACAAGTAAAGAATTGTGTACTCCTTTGTTAAGTCCACTTTTAATTATCTATTTTAATATTTGGTAAATTCAAAAGACTAAACATAGCAAACATAAATTATACAGCATATATTTAAAGTGAATACCCATGACTTACTGGACTCAAAAGTTAGAAGATTACCATCCTGGCCAGTGTGGCTCAGTTGGTTGGGCGTTGTCCCATACACCAAAATGTTGCCAGTTCCATTCTGGTCAGGGCACATGCCCGGTTCAATCCCTGGTAGGGGGCGTTCAGGAGGCAGCTGATTGATGTTTCGTTCTCACATCGATGTTTCTCTCCCTCTCCTTTTCCTTCTCTCTAAAAATCAATTTTTAAAATATATTTTAAAAAAGGAAAATTAGAACATTACAAATATTCTGTATCTGCTTGTGTACCCTATGCTCTCCATCCTGCTGCCTCCCTCCCACAGGTCACTAACTGGTAGCCTACATTTTTTGTCATTTCCTTGATTTTTTTTAAATACTCATATTACATGTACATAATAAACAATATTAATTAGTTCTGCTTGCTTATGAAGAATACAAATTTATATATATTATTTTACTCATAAGTGTATGATAATACTAGTTGTTTTCTAATTAAATTTATTCTACCAATTTGCCAGAAACAAAACCACATGATTCTTCAAAGTTAGTTACTATATGTGCACTCATTTGATCATTGTGGTGTGCCAGGTTCCATGTTTATTTAGATGTGAATAAGATACGCCCAGTAACATGACATGTAGTAAGATAGAGATGTACCCCAAGTTTTCTTCTTCCCCCACATGCATTTTGATGGGGAGCAAAAAGAGAAGTAACATTCTAAAGTTAAATGGTTAAGCCCTAGCCAGTTTTGCTCAGTGGATAGAGCATCGGCCTGCGGACCAAAGGGTCCCGGATTCCATTCCGGTCAAGGGCACGTACCTTGGTTGCAGGCTCCTACCTGGCCCAGGCCCTAGTGGGGCTCGTGCAGGAAGCAACCAGTTGATGTGTTTCTCTCACATCGATGTTTCTCTCTGTCTTTCCCTCTCTCTTCCACTTTCCCTAAAAAAAATATAGTTAAATTGTTAAGAGTAACTGTATTTTAATAAGGCTCTAGATAAAATCCTTATCTAGGATTATGTTAATTAATAGTGATAGTGATAATGGTAACATGTATGATGTGCTGATGTTTGCACCTAGTAATTCAAACCCAAGCAGGTTCCAGAGTCAATGCACTTAACCACTATGCAATAGTACCTTTCTATTTTTTTTTATTAAAAAAACTTTTTTATTGATTGATTGATTTTTAAAGAGAGTGAGTAAGGGAGAGAGAGAAAAAAAATCCACTTGTCCACTTGTTATTCCACTTATATTTATGCATTCATTGTTTGATTCTTGTATGTACCCTGACTGGGGATTGAACCTGCAACCTTGGCATATTAGGACAATATCTAACCAACTGTGCTACCTGGCCAGCGTGCAATGGCACCTTTCTTAAGCCAATATGAGTTCATTTGAAACATTTAGATCAGTGGTCCACCCCATAACAAAGAAACAGAATTTCTGGAGGATGAGGCCCAGAAATCAGGATTTTAAAAAGATTCCCAGGTGATTCTAATGTGCAGCCAAGGTTGAGAACCACTGATTTAGATGGTGTTTCTTTTTTTTTTTCCTTAATCCTCACCCAAGGATATTTTTCCATTGATTTTTAGAGAGAATGGAAGAGAGAGGGAGAGGCAGAGAGAAGCATCGATGTGAGAAAGACACGTCAATTGGTTGCCTCCTCCATGCACCCTGACCAGGGCCAGGGAACTTGCAACCAAGGTACATGCCCTTGACCGGAATCGAACCTGGAACCCTTCACTCTGCAGGCCAGATGCTCTATCCACAGAGCCATACAGAATAGGGCTAGGTGCTGTTTCTTATGAGAAGGAACCAGAGAGGATTAGTCTCCTTTAAATTAGAGCTTTTAAAATCTATTCTATATATATAAAAGCCTAAGCCACTGGCCGAGATCGGCTGACCGTCTGGTAGCTATGACATGCAATGACCACCAGGGGGCAGACGCTCAACACAGGAGCTGCCGAGCTGCTGTGACTTGGCAGCTGAGGTTCTTGGGTAACACACCCGGAACCAGAGAGGAGGGAATCCAATTCCGGGACCCCCTCAGGGGATGTGGGAGAGCCGATTTCAGCCCAGTCCCCACAGGCCAGGCCGAGGAACCCCGCCAGTGCACGAATCCATGATCCAGGCCTCTAGTATATATAAAACATGAAAGGCACAAAGGGTTTAAGTTAAAGAGGAAACAACTGAGAATCCAGGGGTCACCGACTTTGACCTATTGTGCTTTTTTTCCAGGATGGGGAAATGGTGCTGCTGGATGGAGGTTGTGAATCTTCTTGCTATGTGAGTGACATCACCCGTACCTGGCCTGTCAACGGCAGGTACGTCTTCTACAGATCCCACTGCTTCTTTGGAGTGTGGTTATATTTGGAATAAATGGCTAATGAGATAGACAGGTCCCCTCTAGCTCAGGTTAACTGCCTTTGCAAAGCTCCTGATTATTTTTTAAGATTGTTTAGTCATCATCACAGGATCAGGCACCTAGAAACACCTAGTTAACATCCACACACATACATATATGTGTATATATAGTATATATGTATTTAGGTTGGTAGATAGATTGATTGATAATGATTGATGCATTTAAGGAACTGACTCACGCATTTGTAGGGCAGGCTGGAAACTCATGCGCAAAAGTTGATGTTGCAGTCTTGAGGCAGAATTCTTTCTCCAGTATAGCAAGGCAGTTCTGGCATTTGAATTCATTTAGTATAAGATACCTTGTGGCCCACGCTTCAGCCAACCAACCAAATAAACTGTTGGCGCCTTTTTGAACCCTTGAACTATAACATTGAATTCAGAATCTCTGCTTTGTGGACATATATCAATAAGTTCAGCCTGTTCCAACTTTGTGTTCCTTTCAGTTATCCCACACATTACTATCCATTTTCACACATATTCTCAGATTTTTATCTATATAAGTAGGAAAAATCATGCAGTTCTCTTTGGATTATCATGCACCTCCTTGTGGGTCACACTTTGCACCTAACCTTTTGGGACCTGCTAGGAGTACAATCTAGTTAAAAGTCCAGAGGCAAGTACCAAGGCAACTACCTAACGGGAGAACCTGTAGGTTCTCAGTCCAAACTAGATTAGTCTCAGATGGTGGTAGAAGGGCTGCTTCTGCCAGCAAAGAAGACAACAGAATTTAGGGGTTCAGTGTCCCTAGCTTCATCAGGATTGGTCAGAATTGCACAGCTCAGATTTGTGCATTCCAGTATATGTAAAATTTACATTTAAAAATATGTACTAGTGCCCTAACTGGTTTGGCTCAGTGGATAGAGTGTCGGCCTGTGGACTGAAGGGTCCCAGGTTTGATTTCGGCCAAGGGCATGTACCTTGGTTGTGGGCACATCCCCAGTAGGAGGTGTGCAGGAGGCAGCTGATCGATGTTCCTCTCTCATCAATGTTTCTAACTCTCTATCCCTCTCCCTTCCTCTCTGTGAAAAATCAATAAAATATATTTTAAAAAAATATGTACTAGTACTGTGGTGGCATGGAGTATGGGTATAAACATAATGTTGATAAATTTGAACCTGGGAGTTGGGTATGTAGGTGTTCATTATACCATTATATTGTTATACTTAAATATTAGGGGACATTTAGATTGTATCTATCCTATATAATAAAAGAGTAATATGCAAATCGACCGAACGGTGGAACAACTGGTCACTATATTGCACACTGACCACCAGGGTACAGACACTCAATGCAGGAGCTGCCCCCTGGTAGTCAGTGCGCTCCCACAGTGGGAGTGCTGCTCAGCCAGAAGCCAGGCTCATGGCTGGTGAGCGCAGTGGCGATGGCAGGAGTCTCTCCCGTCTCCATGGCAGTGCTAAGGATGTCCAACTGCGGGGAACGGGCCTAAGCCATCAGTTGGACATCCCCTGAGGGCTCCTGGACTGCGAGAGGGCACAGGCCGGACTGAGGGCCCCCGCCCCCAAGTGCATGAATTTCGTGCACCAGGTCTCTAGTTATAATTATAAAAAAACATTATAGTGAACATTTTTGTACATACAGCTTTTTTTGAATTTCAAATATTTTCTTAGGATGGATTCTTAGAACAGAATTACAAGCTCAGAATTTTATGAGCATCTTTGAAGGCCTTTGACTTAATTGGCTGTACTACTTTATGGGAGTGTAAAATAGTACATGGAACTACGTATCATATACCACCCCATTTTAATTTTTTTCCCATTTTTCCCCATGATTGCTGAAGAAATTGTTATACTAAGGACACCTAGAAACTAGTAAATTACTAGTAACTGAAGTATTGACTAGTTTATCCCATGACATGGCTTTGCCTCTAAAAAAATAGATCCCTAAGCTTCTTATTTTAAAAAATATATATATATATTTTATTGATTTTTTTACAGAGAGGAAGGGAGAGGGATAGAGAGTTAGAAACATCGATGAGAGAGAAACATCAATCAGCTGCCTCCTGCACACCCCCCACTGGGGATGTGCCCGCAACCAAGGTACATGCCCTTGACCGGAATTGAACCCAGGACCCTTGAGTCCGCAGGCCGACGCTCTATCCACTGAGCCAAACTGGTCAGGGCAAGCTTCTTTTTTTAATGGTAAAAATTGGAAAGGATCAAGAGTGACCTGGTCTGGCCCTCTGGCCGCATTCAGGGCTGGGTGCGTCCTCTAGCCTCACCTCATTTATATCTGCTGACTGTGTGAAGGACTGTTTCTGCCTGTTTGAAGAGTTATTGCTCTTCCTGTTGAGCATCTAGGGTGTGATTAAGGTCCTGTCCGTAATGCTATGTTGGTATGATTAAATATCTACAGTGCCTCCTCATCATCGCCTTGGAGTTTTCTAATCAAACCACTAACAGCAGGGCTGGTGGAGAAGGCAATATGTTCGCCATCCTAGAATTGATGAGCGCTTTTACACATTATGTTTTGGGGAAGAAAGATGTAAGTCATTTTGAAAGAACTTACATTGGCTATAGATAAGGGTTGGGGGGGGTGGGGGGGGTGCAGGAGGGCGTTTTAGGGTAGGAGCACAGTCTGGAGGAAGAAATATTTACTTCTTTTGATTGGTTACAGGCAGCAGTCTTGAAAGTTCCTGCACATGCTGGATGTGGTGGTGGCTGGTGGTCAGTTCATAGACCCTGGGAGCTGATTCATAGCTTCTAACATACATCCGAATATGAGCGGTCTTTTGTTAGTTGGCACGACACCATTAACTGGTCAACTATTCCTGTCCCTTCCTCTCACTCTCCCACTGCTGTCATTTGACTTATAACATCTCAGAATTTTTTTCTTGTCACAAACTTCCTGCAATATCAGTCAATTCCAAATTTGCGTTCTTTGGTTTTCCTGTCCCCAGGTTTACGGCACCTCAAGCAGAACTCTATGAAGCTGTTCTAGAGATCCAGAGAGATTGTCTGACCCTCTGCTCCCCCGGAACAAGCTTGGAAAACATCTACAGCATGATGCTGACCCTGATAGGGCAGAAGCTTAAAGAGTTGGGGTTCATGAAGAACATTAAGGAAAATAGTGCCTTCAGGGTACCTCACTTCTTTTGACTCAGTTCTCAAGAACACCTTACATGCTGCTCGGTTTTTATGTAAAGCTAATTAGATTTAGAAATGGTCTTTGTGATTCTTCATCTGTAAAAGGGATTTACAATGAACCGGGATTACAACAAAGGGAGTCAGTACTTATTTCTCCCAGAAGGTGGCAGCACATTCTGGTTCATTGCATACTGCATAGTGTGCAACGAGCTCAGTCGTCAGAAGACATAAAATGAAGTCTGGTGCAGAGGGTGGAAAAGGACACAAAAAGGAGGAGAGGTTAACTCTTGATTCTTTTGTGCTAATTTTGAAAAGGTAGAGGTCGAAGGGGAGGGTGTTTGTTACTTCAGTGATACTGTTGAGACTTTAACAATATCCTCAAGGGCATGTCTTTAGGGAATTTCATCTGCATCCACATGTATTCAGTAAAAATGTAAAGCCTCGGCTTTAAATTAAAATGCCGGGTGGTCAAGCCAAACAGACCATTAAGGCATCTCCCATCTCCAAGGTTAGGCTGCCAGGGTTTCTTTTATCGATAGGAAAGAAGCTATAAATTCCTCCTGCTCAGGCCAGCAAATCTTTAATTAATGGATAGAAACATCCAGGCCAGTAAATGCCTAGTAATTGCAGTGCTATTTGATGTTTCAGCCTGCTCCACAAGTTGCTGTGAGATACCTGGGGTCTCCAGAGTAGACTTCCTGAGAGGGATGTGTGAATGTTGAAAAGAGAACTATTCTAACATAATCACCCTCCTTCAAGAAAAGAGATTTTTATTAACCATAGTCATTACTGGGCTTACCCAAGTCAGCATGTGTGTAGTATATTAAATACTGGGAGTGGAAATGTGGATTAGTTAGAATGCATTGGCAGAATTTCATTCGAGAGGTGGCAGTGATCAGGTCTCTTGGTCAGTAGCCTAAGGACAGATTAAACATAGTGGCAGAACCATGGGGGAGCAGTTAACACCTATCTCGCTGACTTATACATGCCCGACTTCCCCTCAAGGGGCCATTGCTCTAATAATACTGTGGCAATTACCTTTTCCAGGCTGCTCGAAAATACTGCCCTCACCACGTTGGCCATTACCTGGGGATGGATGTCCATGACACTCCAGACATTCCCCGATCCCTCCCTCTACAGCCCGGCATGGTGATCACAGTGGAGCCAGGTAAGGGGATAGGGAGTGTTAGCAGCCTCTAACCCCGTGGGACATGTAATAGTAGTGTCAGATAGAAAGGTAAACACCATGGCGAGGGTGAAGATTGATATGACAAGAGTAAGTTTTAAATACTGATGCTGTTTTTGTCATGAAAACAGATCTCATTCTTAGATTTCAAGTGTTTTTATCTCTAAATTAAGTAATTATAGCTGGGACACGTCTTTCATACCACCCTTTGAATCCAGGTAAACGGTACTCTCTGGCCTTGCATATCACTTAGTCCAGTCTGGTCAGCACGTGGGTGCTTCCTTAGACTTTAACTACAAAATTCTTTGCTGACCTTTTCTTTTTATCACAGAGCAGAAGGTGAGGAAGTTTATAGTTTCTTTAACTTGAAAAGAGTGTTGTCTGTCTGACTTCATGATTAGAGAGGGTACTTTGGGCTCTTAGAATTTCCAAATGTTTATTAAAGTCCTCTTATTTTTTTTACTTTACATTTATGGCTTATTGAGAGGGCTTATTTGAGTATTTCTACAGCTTCTGGTTGTTCAGGCTAATAATCTAAATAAGTGGTATTTAAATATATTTTCAAATACCTTATGTCTTTATTTTAGCGAAGTTCCCTTTTTCCAGGGGACTATTAGGCAAAGAAAGAATACATTTATATAATCTACTGGTTCCCAGCATATGCTGACATACTCACAGTTTAAGTAACTTTAGTGGCCTGCTTGAGCCACTAGAATATAACAGAATCATGATCAGCATTACCATATGGAGCCTGTAGTCTACTATACAAAATAACTATAATAATAGTTCTAATAATGATAGTCAACATTTATTGACCATTATACTAGACACTTTTATCTGTATTATATCATTTAATCTCCATGACTCTAGGTGGATACTGTTAAGATCCTAGTTTTACAGATGGATTGTAACACAGAGAGATTAACTTAGTTGCCCCAAATCATCCAGTTACTGCCATTTATGAACAGCACATTCTTTTTCCTACTTCTCAGGCATTTATATTCCAGAGGATGACAGAGATGCTCCAGAGAAGTTTCGTGGTCTTGGTGTACGGATTGAGGATGATGTAGTGGTGACGCAGGACTCACCTCTCATCCTTTCTGCAGATTGTCCCAAAGAGATCAGTGACATCGAGCAGATCTGCAGCAGGGCCTCTTGACCCTCATTGCAGCCCACATGCACCTCAGGTTCAAGGGTGTCGCTAGCATCTGTGCACCTGAGCTTCCTGAGTGCTGTCTGTGTGGGTACGTTTATGTGTGTGTTTCACTTGGGAGTGTGGGGCCTGTATGAATGAATGTATGTAATTGTGTGTGTGGTCTTTTTTTTGTTTTAAGTAACTAGAAATCTGGAAAATTGAATTTTTGGACTGTATGTTACTGCAACTTTAGTTACATTAATTCTATAGAATTAATGACCCAGGCAAGTTTAACTTTTAAACAAAAAGGTAGATCTTGGTTACATATGTTCATGCATTCCAGTTAACACATTTAAATGTACAGAAATTCTTTCCTCTCCAGGTCTTTTCCTTGCAGTGCTTTTGCTGAGATCCAGTTAACATCATAAGATATTTGTATGATGCTTATATTACACTAAAAACCACTGATCGTGTGAGGCCCATGTATGCCTTTCATGGTGCCAACCTACTCCAGAGCCTGCACATCTACCGGAGCCACAGGAGCCTCATGGGCACTGGGGTCCCGCAGTCCCACCAGTCAGCCTCCCTCCAGACTCCAGCAACAGTGTATCAAACAAAACAGTTCTGAGCCTTTCTTGCTACTTGGTTGCCTAGGGCCTGGAAAGTATTTAGATTCTTGATAAGGAAGGACATAGAAGAGAAAGAAAAATATCTATGTGTCTGCTACAGATCCAGACCTCCATCCCTCTGTTCTCAATCTAAAGATGATTCCTGTCCTAGACACCCATGCTTCCTGTATAGATTCTTCGTGCACTACTCCTCATAGCACATCCTTGAAGCTGCTGCCCTAGCCAAGGGCAGGTCCTCTACTTACCCAGTTAAAGTGGGCACCCAGTTTTCAGAGAGCTACCCCTGTTACTGTTCTGTGATTTCTTCCAGTGCTAACAAAAACAAAATATGCTTATGCCACCAAGTGCCTAGAAACAGCCTAAGGTCCTTTTCTTTCTCTGATGTTAGCACTGGAAGAAGCATATTTCTCTCAACCCAGCATTAGACGCAATTATGCAAGAACTCAGTTGTACAAGTTTGCAAAGTGAACAGGGCTAGATTATTGCATATGGTTTATTTGGGACCTTCTGTCAAAAAGGGAAGCTTTTAAGAACTAGTGTGTCCCCCTCTTAAACTTGTGTATGAACCCAAGATGTATAAAACATGCTGATTGTTGAAGCAAAAATTTGAGGGTTTTTAAGAAAATATTTGTATTAGCAAAGCACGGGCTCGGGGATTAACACTCCCTGCAGTGATACAGGCTTGCCTGTCTTATCAGGAAATCCCAAGGTGCAGAGCTCAAAGCAGACAGGTAGTGGCTTCATCAGGAGACAAAGGTAATATTATAAACCCAAGTGATATAGATCGTGTCCTGACAGCGTCATCCACAAATGCTTGCTTTGTTCACCGTATCTCAGCCGCTGTGGGAAGGGATGGCCGCACAGCTGGAGTCATCATCCCCTGCCTGCCCTCCTGCTCACTTCTCAGTCCTGTGCTACTTTCCAAACGAAGCGGACTTAAAATGAACCCACAGCTTGGGCTTCTCACCCGGGGCCTCCGGGGCCCTCACGGCCCTTGGGTTGGGTTTCTTTTGTTCATTCACAATCCTGAAAGGTTTTTCCTTTTCTTCATAGAAATCATTTTCTATGGTCTTCTCTGTTTTAGCTAAACACTTAGGCAGCTTTTATGCACAGCAGCATGCTTGGACATGAACCAGACTCCTTCCGGTTAGATTCCAGTGAAACTGTGCAGGTGTTATGAGTAGTTAGAATGGCTGTTGTGGAGTCCCTGATCCAAGAATATCGTCCTTTGAGTCCCAGATTAACCACCACAGCTAACCATTTGATTCAGACTACCGGAACCATCACGAGATGACAGTGAACATCTCAGAGCAGTGTCTTAGGGGCTGTCTGATATATCCAGGATCTGTGAGCAGATAATCGTGCACAGTGCAGGAACCTCATCCATTCTTCGCCACACCACAGACATACCCCACATTTCCCTTCATGAAGTATAATAAATACTTCCTATATATACCAGGCTCTCTCCTATAATGAAAACCTTAATTTAAAAAAATCTTTCCAATGTTCCACTGGGATTTTTCTCCCTGAATTGAATACATGAGATTGGATCCTTAACTATACCATCTAAATGAAGGAAGCATAGCTAGTACTCTCTGCCGCATACTCTGTGTTGTTTTTTGTTCATCCTCACCTCAGGATGTTTTTTCCATTGATTCTTGGAGTGGAAGGTTGTGTGGGGAGAGAGAGAGAGAGAGAGAGAGAGAGAGAGAGAGAGAGAGAGAAACATTGATGTGAGAGACACATTGATCAGTTGTCTCCTGTACTCACCTTGACCTGGGCTGGCTGGTTCCGGGCCTGCAACCTAGGTATATGCCCTTAACTGGGAATTGAACCCAGATCCTTCGGTCCCCAGACCAACACTCCAACAGCCAAACCAGCCAGGGCTACCACATACTTTTATGTGTTTATTTCAGGAATTACTGTTTCCCCCCATAATCAGGAAGTGGACTGTGGAGTAAGAATTTACCCTTCCCATAGTCATAACATCCAAGTTAGGAAGCTACTTGTGATGGTGACTCCCAGTTCTCAGTGTGGGTCTTCTTTCAAAATATTATTATTTTCTTATTGATTTTTATAAGGTCAGAAAGAGAAAACTCCTAACTAACAAAGACATTATATCTTAATTGAGATTAAGATCCATGAGACAGCCCTGACAGGGTGGCTCAGTTAGTTGGAGTGTCATCCTGTACATCAAAAAAATAGGGTTGCAGTTCCATTCCCAGTCGGGGCATATACCTAGGTTTCAGGTTGATCCTCAATCGGGGCATGTACAGGAGGATACAGATCTATGTTTCTCTCTTTCTCTCTCTAAAATCAATACAAACATCTCCTCGGGTGAAAAAAATCCATGAAACAAGTTAAATCCTCAGATCGTAACTAATTAAATAGAAAAATTGGGTTTAAAAAAACTTTTTAAACTTATGTAATCAATGCCCTCTTCAGCTTTCTTAATAGTAGATTACAAATACGATGCATGAGATCTGCCTCTCCCTCTCCTGTACCCATGCCAGAGATCACAAGCATAGTGACTGTCCCATCAGCCCATGTATGACCTCAGTCCTTCGTAGCACAGTGTTTCTGACAGTTGCTACCAATAAAACAGTTGGAATTGGAGTAAGACCCTCTCTGCCATCCCTCCACTGGCATATAAAAGATGACAATGTAACGTGTGTGTGTGTGTATTGGAAACTGAGTGACAATTTAACTTGAGTGTATGTGTATTGGTCCAGAATGGTGGCAGCATAAAGGACCGCGCTTGGAAGAGGTTTTTATGGTTTGGTTAATTTTTTTAAATTTAAGCTGTTAGGGTTAAGTTTTAAGCCTGGGCAAATATATTCAAGGTAAAGTGTTTTATGCCCTTAGTAAAATGAGAAGGTGAATACATCATGAAACCCTATCGTTACAGCAGAATTCCATTGTTACAAAGCACGTGGGTTCTCCTGGCTGCTCTTCTGACCTCTGCCTCTGTGTCACGGAGGAGCTTGGGGTGAGCATCACTGTTGTTCGGATCAGGGGTCCCCATGAACTCAAGGCCTCTTGGGGTGTGCTCATGAGGAGCTAAGAGAACTGTGGTCTTTGTGAGCATTTCTTAATGCTTTGAATGACTTTTGTGCAATTATATAAATTCGATTTGGATAAAACGCTGTTACTTTTAGTTATCTCATTCCCCAACAAGGGAAAAGTATTTGTTACTGCCATTTAAAAAATAAATCATAAAACAATAAAAATGTTTGCACATGTGTGTTATTTTCAAATCTAGAGTTTACTGCTTTAACTTTGAGAATATTTTGATTTACAAAATATTTTACTTTACAGAGTGTTCATTAATTGCTGTTACAAAATCATGATAGCACCCGGCCAGCATGGCTCAGTAGTTGAGCATCAACCTATGAACCAGGAGGTCACTGTTTGATTCCTGCACATGCCTGGGTTGCGGGCTCCATCCCCAGAGTGGGGCGTGCAGGAGACAGCCGATCAATGATTCTCTCTCATCCTTGATCTTTCTCTCTCTTCCTCCCTCTCCCTATCTCTCTGAAATCAATAAAAATATATTTTTAAAAAATCATTACAAAGCAGTGAGTATCATGTCATAACAGTTACAGGGATGACATGAAAGAGGAAGGATGGACTACATTTGTGAAGAGAGTCAAGCCCACTGGTCAGAGAAAATAACCCTATGAGTTTTATAATAAAACTAGAGGCCTGGTGCACAAATTCGTGCACTGGTGGGGGGCATGGCCTGCGGGGATCAGCCCACTGTGGGAGTGCACTGACAACCAGGGGGCAGCTCCTACATTGAGAGTCTGCCCCCTGGTGGTCAGTGTGCGTCATAGCGACTGGTCTGGTCATTCCACCGTTTGGTTGCTGGGCTTTTATATATATAGATTGCCCACACATTATAGCACTTTCATTTACATTATCTCATTTATGCTTATGTTGAGCCTGTGAGCCACGTCACTAACCTCATTTTACAGATGAGGAAAATAGGCTCCCTGAGCATTCGACTCACCCAACATCATATTGTAAGTAGTTCTGGATGGAATTCAGTTTCTTGAACTTGAAACTGATTTGTAAACCTAACACTCACTGAACTCTCATTAGGCCATCAGAATGCATTATATCATCTAATCTCTGCAGCAACAATTTTTTTTAAAATATATTTTATCGACTTTTTACAAAGAGGAAGGGAGAGGGATAGAGAGCCAGAAACATCCATGAGAGAGAAACATCGATCAACTGCCTCCTGCACACCACCTACTGGGGATGTGCCCGCAACCAAGGTACATGCCCTTGACCGGAATCAAACCTGGGAAATTTCAGTCCGCAGGCCAACTATCCACTGCAGCAACAATTCCTATCACACCTCATTTTATTTTATTTTTTATTTTAAAAAATATTTTTATTGATTTCAGAGAGGAAGGGAGGGAGAGAAACATCAATGATGAGAGAATCATTGATTGGTCAGGTGCCCTGACTGGGAATTGAACCATGACCACCTGGTTCATAGGTCGATGCTCAAGCACTGAGCCATACAAGCTGGGCTCACCCCATGTTTTATAAATGAGAAAAACAAGACTTTCAGAAGTTCAAGTAATTTGTCCAAGCTAGGATTTGAATTGAGCTACGACTCAGTACCTGAGCCCTGAACAGCCCTACTGCACTGTGCAAGTGAGCACTCCAGTTCTCAGTGATCCTGACTGCCATGGTGCAGCTGGTGTCAGACACACCTGGGTTAGAATCCCTCCTTGGCCATGTACCAGCTCTCTCACCTTAAGATCATTTTCTTAGCTTTCTCTTACCTTCATGTTCCTTGCTTATAGAATAGGAATCATATGTATCTGGCTCATAGCATCTCCACTTTTTCTTTGATTTTGCATTTAACCCAATATGTAATCATTACTGTTGTCTGCCTTTATCTGTAGGGCATAAGCTACATGAGGAGGGCCTAGGACAGTGATGGCGAACCTAGGACACGTGTGTCAGAGGTGACACGGGAACTCATTTTTTTGGTTGATTTTTCTTTGTTAAATGGCATTTAAATGTATAAAATAAATATCAAAAATATAAGTCTTTGTTTTACTATGGTTGCAAATATCAAAAAATTTCTATATGTGACACGGCACCAGAGTTAAGTTAGGGTTTTTCAAAATGCTGACACGCCGAGCTCAAAAGGTTCGCCATCACTGGTATAGAA